ACCCACCTACCCACCTGAATCTCCCTTCCTCCCCCACCCACCCACCCACCTACCCACCTGAATCTCCCTTCCTCCCCCACCCACCCACCTGAATCTCCCTTCCTTCCCCACCCACCCACCCATCCACCCACCTACCCACCCACCTGAATCTCCCTTCCTCCCCCACCCACCCACCTACCCACCTGAATCTCCCTTCCTTCCCCACCCACCCACCCATCCACCCACCTACCCACCCACCCACCCACCTGAATCTCCCTTCCTTCCCCATCCACCCACCTACCCACCCACCTGAATCTCCCTTCCTCCCCCACCCACCCACCTGAATCTCCCTTCCTCCCCCACCCACCCACCTACCCACCTACCCACCTGAATCTCCCTTCCTTCCCCACCCACCTACCCACTCCACCCACCTACCCACCCACCCACCCACCCACCTGAATCTCCCTTCCTCCCCCACCCACCCACCCATCACCCACCTACCCACCCACCCACCCACCCACCTGAATCTCCCTTCCTCCCCCACCCACCTACCCACCTGAATCTCCCTTCCTCCCCCACCCACCCACCTACCCACCCACCCACCCACCCACCTGAATCTCCCTTCCTCCAACACCCACCCACCCACCCACCTACCCACCCACCCACCTACCCACCTGAATCTCCCTTCCTTCCCCACCCACCCACCCATCCACCCACCTACCCACCCACCCACCCACCCACCTGAATCTCCCTTCCTCCCCCACCCACCCACCCACCTACCCACCTGAATCTCCCTTCCTCCCCCACCCACCCACCCACCTACCCACCCACCCACCCACCCACCTGAATCTCACTTCCTCCCCCACCCACCCACCTACCCACCTGAATCTCCCTTCCTCCCCCACCCACCCACCCACCCACCTACCCACCCACTCACCTGAATCTCCCTTCCTCCCCCACCCACCCACCCACACCACCCACCTACCCACCTGAATCTCCCTTCCTCCCCCACCCACCCACCCACCCACCTATCCACCTACCCACCTGAATCTCCCTTCCTCCCCCACCCACCCACCCACCTACCCACCTGAATCTCCCTTCCTCCCCCACCCACCCACCCACCTACCTACCTGAATCTCCCTTCCTCCCCCACCCACCCACCCACCTACCCACCCACCCACCTACCCACCTGAATCTCCCTTCCTCCCCCACCCACCCACCCACCTACCCACCTGAATCTCCCTTCCTCCCCCACCCACCCACCCACCCACCTACCCACCTGAATCTCCCTTCCTCCCCCACCCACCCACCCACCTACCCACCCACCCACCTACCCACCTGAATCTCCCTTCCTCCCCCACCCACCCACCCACCTACCCACCTGAATCTCCCTTCCTCCCCCACCCACCCACCCACCTACCCACCCACCCACCTACCCACCTGAATCTCCCTTCCTCCCCCACCCACCCACCCACCTACCCACCTGAATCTCCCTTCCTCCCCCACCCACCCACCCACCCACCTACCCACCTGAATCTCCCTTCCTCCCCCACCCACCCACCCACCTACCCACCTGAATCTCCCTTCCTCCCCCACCCACCCACCCACCCACCCACCTACCCACCTGAATCTCCCTTCCTCCCCCACCCACCCACCCACCTACCCACCCACCCACCTGAATCTCCCTTCCTCCCTCGGGTTGACGGTATCGAAGAAGTCCCAGGCGGAGGCGTGGCAGATGGCCTTCCTCGGCGGGTCGGGTTCCTTGAAGAGCGAATTTTCCCAGAAATCATCGGTCATTTCGAAGAGGTTGATGCTCGTGAAGAATTCTTCGGCTATCTTGAACATCTCTTGCTCGAGGTTGATCTGCGGGCGAGGAGAGAGTGAGGGATAGTGAGGGATAGTTCCTTCCCGTGGATAGTGAGGGATAGTTCCTTCTCGCGGGATAGTGAGGAAAGTGAGGGATAATTCCTTCTCGCGGGATAGTGAGGGATAGTGAGGGATAGTTCCTTCTCGCGGGATAGTGAGGGATAGTTCCTTCCCGTGGATTGTGAGGGATAGTGAGGGATAGTTCCTTCCCGTGGATAGTGAGGGATAGTTCCTTCCCGTGGATAGTGAGGGATAGTTCCTTCTCGCGGGATAGTGAGGAAAGTGAGGGATAGTTCATTATCGCGGGATAGTGAGGGATAGTTCCTTCCCGTGGATTGTGAGGGATAGTGAGGGATAGTTCCTTCCCGTGGATAGTGAGGGATAATTCCTTCTCGCGGGGTAGTGAGGAGAATGAGGGATAGTAAAGTAGTTGCTGACACTGATGGTAATAGTAAAATCAATTCATTTATCTATCTATCTTTCTTTTTTTTGCGCCGGATTTCTTATCTATTCATTTTCCTATCTATTTTTCATCGACGAGGTCAAAGACTTAGAAAGATAATGTTAGGAAATAAAAACAAAAACAAAACTTACGTTCTCTTCAAGAATATCGTCCAAGTTGGGTATCGGCGTGTCAAAAGGCTTCACAATCTCGTAGATATTTTCCCAGCTCTGGCCCCACATGTTGCCTGGAAATGGAAATGATGAAAGTTGGAGAATTATTATATTTGTTATTTTTTCATATTCCCCCCCCCCCCCCCCCGAGTTCCATTTTGCGTTAGTTACGGTTAGCCCTTAAAATAATTCCCGTTTTTTGTGTGCACTACGTTGGCTAATGGTTAGATATTCAAGTATCTCCAAAAATATATATAACAGGTGTTTTTTAAAAAAATCATAGACATGAATTTTCGTTTCTTAAATATTCCATAGACTCCAAGAATACTTACAAACGTCTTTCTCTTCCGTTTACTTCAATTCTCACCCCCCCCCCCAAAAAAAAAAAAAAAAAAAAAAAAAAAAAAAAAACTCTGCATAACATGCAATCGAAATTTACAAGAGTTATCCCTAAAAAAAACTCCTTTAAGGGGTAACTAACCTAAAAGATGAGCCGGTATAACATCAGCATCCCTATCGATTTCCTCGTAGTGATCTTTAAGTTTGTAAAGCACGTAAGCGTGGAGTTTCTGGTAGAGCCCTTGTGTCTGGTTCCACAAGTCCTCGATCTCCTGTTTGAAGCTCTCTTGCGTGTAATTTTCAGACGCAATGGTGTAAGGTTCTAACCACATCAAACCCGCGTCATCGAATTCTGTTGGTTAGAGAGGATTCGACGTTTATGTATCAATTTGATGTGAGGGAGAGAGGTAGTGATAGGTGGAGACAGGCGGATAGATAGACAGATATAGGGAAAGAAGTAGAAAGAATGAGAGAGATGGATGAAGGTGAGCGAAAGAGAGGAAGAAAGGGATAGATAGATAGATAGATAGAGGGATGAAGGGAGGAGGGAGGGAGAGGAAGGAAAGAAGGGAGGAAGGGAAGGAGGGAGGGGGATGGATGGATGGATGGATGGATGGATGGAGGGAGGGAGGCAGGGAGGGAGAGTGAGAAAGAAAGAGAGAGAGAGAGAGAGAGAGAGAGAGAGAGAGAGAGAGAGAGAGAGAGAGAGAGAGAGAGAGAGAGAGAGAGAGAGAGAGAGAGAGAAAGGAAAACTACATAAACGCAAAACCAAACACAACACAGAAGAAAAATAAAAATCCAAGGAGATAACAACCAAAGAAAACGAAGAAACCAAACAGAAAACAAGGGGGGACTAAAAGAAGCCACTCACCATTCAGTTCTGCAGCCTTGTTTTGAAGGGTGATATACCTCGTATAATTTTCCTTTATGGGCTTCCCGGAGACCTCCCTCCACTGTTCCCAGTAATACTTCAGTTCCTCGTAATCTCGGTTTACAGCCATCACGTTCTCAACTGGAAGGAGAAGAGAGACATTAGACAGATTGTGTGTGTGTGTGTGTGTGTGTGTGTGTGTGTGTGTGTGTGTGTGTGTGTGTGTGTGTGTGTGTGTGTGTGTGTGTGTGTATGTGATGTGTGTGTGTGTGTGTGTGTGTGTGTGTGTGTGTGTGTGTGTGTGTGTGTGTGTGTGTGTATGTGTGTGTGTGTGTGTGTATGTGAATGTGTGTGTGTGTGTGTGTGTGTATGTGTGTGTTAATGCTATATAGATATGTATAATAATAATAATGATAGTAATAATGATAATAACAATAATAAAACAACAATAATAACAACCATAAAACCTAACAAAAATAACAACAATGACACAATGAAAATAAAACGTAAACCAAATCCATCATTCACCTCCCCACCCCACCCAAAAAAAAAAAAAAAAAAAAAAAAAAATAGATAAAATAAAATAAAATAAATAAAAACAAATAAATGAATCAAATTAACATAGTGACGAAACGGAAGCGAACTCACGGGCGTCGCTGTTAAGACCCTCAGATTCGTCACAGTCTGGTTTGTCGTAAGGGCAAACTACATTAGTGAAGGCGTTCGTCATCCCAGTTACAATGCCGGTAAGCTGTTAGAAAGGAGTGGAGGAGGAAGGGGGGAGAGGGTAAATAGAGAGAATTTAAGTAGGGTATATATATATTTAAGTATATATATATATATATATATATATATATATATATATATATATATGTATGTATGTATGTATGTATGTATGTATGTATGTATGTATATATATATATATATATATATATATATATATATATATATATATATGTATATATATATATATATATATATATATATATATATATATATATATATGTATATATATATATATATATATATATATATATATATATATATATATATATATATATATATATATATATACATACATATATGTATATTCATGAATGTGCAAATATATACATATGCAAACACGCACGTACCTTCTACTTATAATTACGAAGAAGAAAAAGGAGAAAAGAGAGAAAAGAGAAAGAACGATATATATATATATATATATATATATATATATATATATATATATATATGTGTGTGTGTGTGTGTGTGTGTGTGTGTGTGTGTGTGTGTGTGTGTGTATGTGTGTGTGTGTGTGTGTGTGTGTGTGTGTGTGTGTGTGTGTATGTGTGTGTGTGTGTGTGTGTGTGTGTGTGTGTGTGTGTGTGTGTGTGTGTGTGTGTGTGTGTGGAGACAGAGAGAGACAGAGAGAGAGAGAGAGAGAGAGAGAGAGAGAGAGAGAGAGAGAGAGAGAGAGAGAGAGAGAGAGAGAGAAGAGAAAATCGCTAGAGAGAGAGAGAGAGAGAGAGAGAGAGAGAGAGAGAGAGAGAGAGAGAGAGAGAGAGAAGAGAAAATCGCTAGAGAGAGAGAGAAAGAGAGAGGTAGAGAGAGAAAGAGGGAGAAAGAGAGAGAAAGATAGATAAAGAGAGAGAGACGAGCCAATGAGAAAAAAAAAAAACAAGAATAGCGAGAGAGAGAAAAAAAAACAGCCAAAGAAAAATAAATAGCAAAAAAAAAAAAAAAAAAACAAAAAAACAGCAAAGCATCGCACTCGAACTCCTTACCTCGGCCATATCTGCATCGTCGAGTTTCGCCGTGCCCAGTGTCTTCTGCATCTCGAACTGTCGCTTTAGCACCTCGTCCTCGAAGCTCTCGTAGTTAAAGTACTCGATGACCTCGGCGTGGAGTTCCTTGTACCTCTGGGCTACCATGAGGCTGGCTTCTTTCTGGTGTGGGGGTGGGGTAGGTGGGGGGGGGAGAAAATGGGTGCGGTCGGGGTGGGTGGGAGAGAATAGGTAGGGTGGGGTGGGGTGGGAAGTGGGGGTTGTTAAAGGAATGGGTGGGGGTGGGGTGGGGGTGGGTGGGAGAGAATGGGTGGGGGTGGGTGAGAGGGATAGAATGGGTGGGGGTGGGGGTGGGGGGTTAGGAGGCAGGGAGAGAATGGGTGGGGGTGGGAGAATGGGTGGGTGTGAGTGGGGGTTAGGGAGTGGGGGGAAGGGATTAGGTGGGTGGAGTGAGGGGGGGGGAATAGAATGGGTGGGTGGAGAAAAGGGGGAAGAGAGTGGGTGGGGAAGAGAATAGGCGGGGGGGGGGGGCGAGGAAGAAGAGGGGGTGAGAGAAGAATTTTTATCAGTCACTTATTCATTAAAGAAGCTACTATGAGTCATTAATCAGTCACTATCCGTTCCCGTCGGCCTCAAAATCGGTTCACTATTAGTCACTGTTAATGTAATATGAATCACCATCAATTTCCATTAAACATTATGAGTAACATGAATATGAATAAATAAATACTCATTAACCGCTATGGGTCACTGCCATTCACCATCACCATTCACCATTCATAAAATCAGCCAGTGAATTACGAGTGATCACTATCAATCACTATCAGTCACCCACAATCACCATCATCATCAATCAACCACTATAGATCACACTACCAATCACCATCAATCTCCAATCACCATAAACCACTACTTATCACTATCAGTCACTATATATCACAACCAAACAAGACAGTCGCTGTGAATCACTCACTATCAGTCACCTTAAACCACAACAAATCACCATGGATCATCAATCACCCTCAACCGCTACGAATCACTGTCAATCAATATAAAACACTATCAATCACTATAAAATACTATAAATCACTATAAAATACTATCAATCACTATAAAAAACACCATCAATCACTATAAAACACTACCCATCACCATCAATCGCGATGTGTCACTGTTAGCTCCACCCGTTGTAACTATCACTATCAGTCCCCCCCCTCCCCAGGGCAGCTACCCGCAATGCTCTTCGCTGTCCTATTTAATTCAACAAACTTCATTACTTTAAATTTCAATTCTTTATATATATTTTCTTCTTTTTTTATTTCTTTCTATTTTTATTCCCGTTTTCCAGTCTATCCCTATATTTATTTTCGGTTTTTCATTCCATGTTCGTTTCCCGTTTTTCTCTTTCAGCTTCCGTTTCTCTGTTTTTGCTTCTATTTTCTGTCTCTTCCTATATCAAGTTTTATTTTCTATTATAATTTTTTGCTTCCATGTTGTCTTTCTGTTTTATTTACATTTCATGTTTCCCTTTCGGTCTCAGGATCTATTTCTAGTTTTAATTGTATTTCTACTTTCGAGTTGCATTTTCTCCTATTTTCTATTTCAGTTTTATCTTCTCCTTCCATCTCTGCTTCTCGTTCGATCTCTACTTCTATATCTCTCTCTCTCTCTCTTTCCCTTTTTCCATCCCTCTCTCTCTTTCTCCCTCCCTCCCTCCTTCCCTCTCTATCTTCCTCTCTCCCTCCCTCCTTCCCTATCTTCCTCCCTCCCTTCTTCCTTCCATCTCTATCTTCCTCCCTCCCTCCCTCTATAAATTAAATCACTATCACAATCACCATCAATCACAAACCTCAAATACCCTGACCTTGCCCTGACACCGCCCCCTCCCCCCTTTTGTATCAAAGGCCTTTACTAAGAAATGAAAAATGCACATTACTCTCCTTTAAAAAACACAATGAAACCATATCTATTATCCCAACGTGCTCTCTAACGTGTCCAATGTATAACTACTGTATACTATGTTTACTTTATTATCTCATTTCTTTAGGATCAAAACTGTCACTTATGTTTTTTTTTTTTCGTAAAATAGTTATATACAGTAAGGCTAGGTGTTCTAGTAATAAATATTTCGTTTAGTTCAAATGTGTAAATCCGTATTATGTAATTGATGACTTATGTATGTAGATGTCCTTATGTTGTCCTTCGTAAAGGAGTCTAACTTATGGAGTGTTTAGCCGTATTGTATGTCATATCATTTTTTTTTTGTATTTTGTAATATCTGGCTAAATAGATTATTACATTCTGAATCTGATTGTCTCCCTCTCTCTCTGTCTCTCTGTCTCTCTGTCTCTGCCTCTCTCTCTCTCTCTCTCTCTCTCTCTCTCTCTCTCTCTTACCGACGCTGCTTCGTTCGCATCCGTGACGTCAATGTAGTATTCCCAGTCGACGAAGGTGGCGTTTCGGAGGAGCTCTGTCATTTCGTCGTTCATCTGCTTGAGGGCAAGACGGGCGCTCTCCTCGTCGTTGGGGTCCACTGTCGTTGGGGCCATAGTGCTGGTGGAGACGTCTGGTGATGGGGAAGCATCGCTGGAGGATTCTGGTGTTGTGGGGGCGCCACTGGAGGCTGCTGGTGTTGTGGGAACCTCGCTGGAGGGCGCTGGTGTTGTGGGAACCTCGCTGGGGGGTTCTGATGTTGTGGGAACCTCGCTGGGGGGTTCTGTTGTTGTGGGAGCCTCGCTGGGGGGTTCTGTTGTTGTGGGAGCCTCGCTGGGGGGTTCTGTTGTTGTGGGAGCCTCGCTGGGGGGTTCTGTTGTTGTGGGAGCCTCGCTGGGGGGTTCTGTTGTTGTGGGAGCCTCGCTGGGGGGTTCTGATGTTGAGGAAACTCCCTTGACCCCGTCACAATCAACTGTGGAATGGATTAGTCTTTGAAAGTAAATGGATAAATAAACCACAACCACTGGCTAATATCTTGCAGCAACCCCGAAGGCCTCAACTGAAACCTACGCACGCACCTCCCCAGCCCACGCACTGGCCGGCGCTGGCGAGCTCCTGGTCGAGGTGCTGGATCAGGGGGTCGAAGTAGGCGACAATGGCCTGGGGGTCCATCTCCGAAGACCCGCCCAGCTCCTGGAGGACGGCCGGCCACGGCTGGGAGAACCCGCGATCCAAGGCAGATCTGGAGGTAAAATTTTGATTATTATTATTATTTTTTTTTTAGAATTTCAGTTTCTTTTTTTTCTTTTTTTTCTACCCCCTTCGTCTTCTTCCCTTTCTCTGTGTTTATTTGTTAACTTTCTTTCTCTTTCTGCTTGTCTGTCTGTCTGTCTCTGATTCTCATTGTCGTGTTTCTCTGTCTGTTTCTCTGTCAGTCTCTCTCTCTCTCTTTCTCTCCCCCCATCCCTTTCTCTCTCTCTCCCTCTCCCTCCCCTTTTTTCTCTCTCTCCCTTTCTATCTCTCTTTCTCTCCCTCCCTCCCTATCTCTCCCTCTCCCTCCCTATCTCTCCCTCTCCCTCCCTCCCTATCACCCCCATCCCCTCCCTCCCTCCCTCTCTCTCTCCCTCTCCCTCTCTCTCTCTCTCTCCCTTACTTGAGAATCTGTCCCGCTTCTGCATTGTTGTAAATATCACAGGTATGCAAAGGACCCGTATGTCCGGCCGCCTGGCAGAGTCGCTGGTGGAACTGGAACTGAACGACGAAGCTGACGAAGTACCTGTGGAAGGGAAGAAGATAAAGTGATTGATTGACTGATGAAGAACCTGGAGGAGGTGACTGATGAAGAACCTGGAGGAGGTGACTGATGAAGAACCTGGAGGAGGTGACTGATGAAGAACCTGGAGGAGGTGACTGATGAAGAACCTGGAGGAGGTGACTGATGAAGAACCTGGAGGAGGTGACTGATGAAGAACCCGGAGGAGTTGACTGATGAAGAACCTGGAGGAGGTGACTGATGAAGAACCTGGAGGAGGTGACTGATGAAGAACCTGGAGGAGGTGATTGATGAAGAACCTGGAGGAGGTGACTGATGAAGAACCTGGAGGAGGTGACTGATGAAGAACCTGGAGGAGGTGACTGATGAAGAACCTGGAGGAGGTGACTGATGAAGAACCTGGAGGAGGTGACTGATGAAGAACCTGGAGGAGTTGACTGATGAAGAACCTGGAGGAGGTGACTGATGAAGAACCTGGAGGAGGTGACTGATGAAGAACCTGGAGGAGGTGACTGATGAAGAACCTGGAGGAGGTGACTGATGAAGAACCTGGAGGAGGTGACTGATGAAGAACCTGGAGGAGGTGATTGATGAAGAACCTGGAGGAGGTGACTGATGAAGAACCTGGAGGAGGTGACTGATGATGAACCTGGAGGAGGTGACTGATGAAGAACCTGGAGGAGGTGACTGATGAAGAACCTGGAGGAGGTGACTGATGAAGAACTCGGAGGAGGTGACTGATGAAGAACCTGGAGGAGGTGACTGATGAAGAACCTGGAGGAGGTGACTGATGAAGAACCTGGAGGAGGTGACTGATGAAGAACCTGGAGGAGGTGACTGATGAAGAACCTGGAGGAGGTGACTGATGAAGAACCTGGAGGAGGTGACTGATGAAGAACCTGGAGGAGGTGACTGATGAAGTACCTGAGGAAGGGAAGAAGATGAGGTGAAGATGAAAGTGAAGTCAAAGAGAAAGAAAATAGAAGAGAAAGTGATGAGGGAGGAAGGGGGGGGGCGAGATGAAGGTGAAGAGAAAACGGAGAAGAAAACAAAGAGAAAAGAAAGCGAAGAGAAACAAAAGGGAGGAGAAAATAATGAGGGAAGAGCGAAGGAAGGTGATGAGAGGAGGACAAAAACAGAAAAGAAAATGAAGAAAAGGGAATCTGACAAAGAAAATGACGAGCCAGGAAGGAGGGGAATAAAATGAGGCGAACATGAGGAGAAACGCAATAAAAATGAAATAAAAAAGAGGGGAAAGGGAGAGCAGGAAATGATAAAAAGATAAAGAGATAATGGAGAGAGCAACTGATGAGGGAAGAAAGAGGAAAACCAAATGAAAATGAGAATAACGGAAGGGAAAATGATAAGGGAGGAGAGAGGGAAGAAGAAAATTAGGCGAAAATGAAGAGAAAGTGAAATAAAATGGTTATGATAAGTTGGCGTTGGTAATGATGATAATAGTGAAAATGATGATAATGAGGATGAAAAGAAAAAAATAAATGGTACGTTTATAATATCAGTAGCGAAAACGACAACAACAACAATAATAATCGTCATGGCATCAAAAACGAAAACAAAAAAAAAACACCGAGATATCAATAACACGCACACACAAACACACACACACACACACAAACACAAACAAACACACAAACACAAACACAAACACACACCTGATATACGGTACGTTAGCCGGTACGTGGTACTTGGCACCGGGGTCGAAGAATTCCTCTCCCCTGGCACCGTCGGGGGGTGCCACTCCCTGCAGGTCCTCCCTCAGCTGCCACCACGCCCCGTTCAGGTTCTCGCTGGTGATGGTGCCGTCGAAAACCCCCCAGCGGTACTTGTCGATCAGGTAACCGAAGGGGAGGAAGGCGATCTGGGGAGGGAGGGAAGGGGGGGTGGGTGGGGTTAATGACAGTGGTTGGGGGGGTGGGGTGGGGGGTGGGGTTAATGACGGTGGTGGGGAGTGGTAGGGGGGTGGGGTTAATGACAGTGGTAGGGGGGTGGGGTGGGTGGGGTTAATGTTGGTGGTGGGGGGTGGGGGGGTGGGGTTAATGACGGTGGTGGGGAGTGGTAGGGGGGTGGGGTTAATGACAGTGGTAGGGGGGTGGGGTGGGTGGGGTTAATGTTGGTGGTGGGGGGTGGGGGGGTGGGGTTAATGACGGTGGTAGGGGGGGTGGGGGGTGGGTGGGGTTAATGTTGGTGGTGGGGGGGTGGGGGGTGGGGTTAATGACAGTGGTAGGGGGGTGGGGTGGGTGGGGTTAATGTCGGTGGTGGGGGGGGGTGGGGGGTGTTAATGTCGGTGGTGGGGAGTGGTAGGGGGGTGGGGTGGGGGGGGTTAATGTCGGTAGTGGTGGTGTGGGGGGGTGCGGGGATGGGGGGGCTGATCACCTCCTTTCTTCTTTTTTTTCTTTCCCAATCTTTATTATTCTATTTCCTCCTTCTTATGCGTTTGTTATATTTCTTTTCTCCTACTCTTAACCCTCTTTTCCCTCTCTAGATTCTCCTTCAACCTCCTCTCCCCCAATTTATCCCTTTCCTCTATCCTCCTTTCTCCTTCCTCCCTCTTCTTCCTTTCTTCCTTCTCTCCCCCAATTTATCCCTTTCCTCTCTCCTCCCTTCTCCTTCCTCTCTCCTCTCTCCTCCTCTTCTTCCTTCTCTTCCCCAATTTATCCCTTTCCTCTCTCCTCCTCCTCCTCCTCTTCCTTCTCTCCCCCAATTTATCCCTTTCCTCTCTCCTCCCTTCTCCTTCCTCTCTCCTCCTCTTCTTCCTTCTCTTCCCCAATTTATTCCTTTCTTCTTTCCTCCCTTCTCTTTCCTCTCTCCTCCTCTTCTTCCTTCTCTTCCCCAATTTATCCCTTTCCTCTATCCTCCTTTCTCCTTCCTCCCTCTTCTTCCTTCTTCCTTCTCTCCCCCAATTTATCCCTTTCCTCTATCCTCCTTTCTCCTTCCTCCCTCTTCTTCCTTCTTCCTTCTCTCCCCCAATTTATCTCTTTCCTCTATCCTCCCTTCTCCTTCCTCCTCTCCTCTCCTTCTTCCTTCTCTCCCCCAATTTATCCCTCTCCTTTATCCTCCCTTCTCCATCCTCTCTCCTCCTCTTCTTCCTTCTCTCCCCCAATTTATCCACTCCCTTTTCCTTCCTCTATCCTCCCTCCCTCCCTTCCTTCTTCCTTCTCTCCCCCCCTTCCTATACACTCCCTTCCTTGAATCCTCCCTTCCCTCTAGGATAAAGGAAGGAGGGGGGGGATGGGGCTCCTTTCTTTTTTCTCTCCCTCTCTCTCCTTTTAGTTTGTCCTTTCGTTCTCTCTTTTATTCCCTTCCTATCCTCCCTTTCTTCCCTAATATCTCCTTGTCTCCCCTCCTTCTCCTTCCCTTCTTCTCCACTCTCATCTCCTCTCCCTCCTTACCCTTTGCCCTCTCTCTCTCTTTACCCTTCCCTCCTCCTCCTCCCTCCTTATTCCTGCCTCTCCCCTCTCCCTCCTTACCCCTCCTCCCTCTCTCTCCCTCCTTACCTCTCCTACTTCTCTCTCTCCCTTCTGACCCTTCCTCCTACTCCCTCCTTCCTTACCCTCTCCTCCCTCTCTCTTCCTCTCTCTCCCTCCTTACCCCTCCCTCCCCCCTCTCCCCCTATCTCTCTCTCCCCTCTCCTCCTCTTTCCTCCTATCCCCTCCTTCCTTACCCTCTCCTCCCTCCCTCTCCCTCCTTCCTATCTCCTCCCTCTCTCTCCCTCCTTCCTACCTCCTCCCTCTCTCTCCCTCCTTCCTATCTCCTCCCTCTCTCTCCCTCCTTCCTACCTCCTCCCTCTCTCTCCTTCCTTACCCTCTCCTCCCTCCCTCGCCCTCTTTCCTATCTCCTCCCTCTCTCTCCTTCCTTACCCTCTCCTCCCTCCCTCTCCCTCCTTCCTATCTCCTCCCTCTCTCTCCTTCCTTACCCTCTCCTCCCTCCCTCTCCCTCCTTCCTACCTTCTCCTCCCTCCCTCTCCCTCCTTCCTACCTTCTCCAGCGCCATCTTCATGAGGAAGTTGAGGTCCCTCTTTTCCTCGTCGCTAAGTTCCTTGTTCTCGGAGGAAGAGGCTCGCGGGAGGCTCCTCGTGGGCGTGAGTCCCAAGACGTCTTCGAGATGCGTGGGCGTTGACACCGAGAGGGAGATGAGATCGCCGATCGCCTCGTGGAAGCCTGGGGGGGAGGGAGAGGGGGAGGTGAGATGGGGGGGGAGAGGAGAGTGGGGAGAGGAAGGGTGCAGGGAGAGGGGGAGGGGGAGGTGAGATGGGGAGGAGGAGATGGGGGAGGAAAGAGGGAGAGGGGGGAGAGGGAGAGGGGGAGGTGAGATGGGGGGAGAGGAGAGTGGGGAGAGGAAGGGTGCAGGGAGAGGGGGAGGGGGAGGTGAGATGGGGAGGGGGAGAGGGAGAGGGGGAAAGGAGAGGTGAGATGGGGGAGAGGGAGAGGGGGAGGTGAGATGGGGGGAGAAGAGAGTGGGGAGAGGAAGGGTACAGGGAGAGGGGGAGGGGAGGTGAGATGGGGAGGGGGAGAGGGAGAGGGGGAAAGGAGAGGTGAAATGGGAGAGAGGGAGAGGGGGAGGTGAGATGGGGGGAGAGGAGAGTGGGGAGAGGGAGGGTGCAGGGAGAGGGGGAGGGGGAGGTGAGATGGGAAGAGAGAGATGGGGGAGGAAAGAGGGAGGAGAGAGGGTAAGATGGGGAGATGGGGAGGGAGGAGAGGAGGGGGTGAGAGTGGGCAGAGATGGGGGAGGAAAGAAGGGGAGGGTGAGGAGAGGAGGGGGTGATGAAGGAAGGAAGGGGAGATGGAGAGAAGAGGAAGAGAAGGAGAGAGGGAGAGAGGAGTATCAGGGGAGGAGGGAGGGGGAGGGGGAGGGTAGGAGGGAGGGAGAGGAGAGAGGGAATGACTAGGAGAGGAGAGGGAGGGGGGTAAGAATAGGTAGGGGCGAAAGAGGGAGAGGGTAAGGAAGAGTTAGATAGGGTTAAGCGAAGGGGGAAAGAAATGAGGGACGGAACGAGAGAAGGACGGAGGGAGGAGATGGACAAGAAGGAGAAAGGAGGGTTTAGGAGGGTGAAGATAGAGAGAGAAACTCCAAAAACAAGAGTATTATATGTGGATATATTTCCTTAATCATTATCTTCTAATTATTAAATGTACAGTACTACTAAAAGGAAGGTGGTCATAAGGAAGAGGATAAGAGAGAGAGAGAGAGAGAGAGAGAGAGAGAGAGAGAGAGAGAGAGAGAGAGAGAGAGAGAGAGAGAGAGAGAGAGAGAGAGAGAGAAAGAGAGAGAGGGAAAGAGAGAGAAAGAGGGAGAGAGAGAGAACGAGAGAAAGAGAATGAGAAAGAGAGAAAGAGAGAGAGAGAATGAGATAAAGAAACCTCTTCCCTCTCTCTCTCTCAGCACTCCCTCCTCATCAATACATCTCTCCCTCCCTCGTTCCCTCTTCCCTCCTCCAAAGACAAAGACCAAAAACGAAACAACCAAAGATAAAAACAGAAAGACGAAAGAAAGAATACAAAAGAGAAAGGAGAAAGAGTCCCACCTGGGTTAGCCGACTCCCTGAAGACATGAGGTTGGTTCTTGTAGGCCATGAAGTACTCGATGTGGCCCATTTCGTGGTGGACAGTCACAAGGTCCACCATGTTGACTTCGGTGCACATCTTGATTCTGGGTGTGGAAACCGGTTCATTTTATCGTCATTTTGAAGGGTAAAACACTCTACCGTGTTGGTATTATGGTAGGGAAAAAACCCATAATGTAAAACTTTATTGAAAGTGAGGCTATAGTTCCTCAGGTCTGAAGATGAAAGGGAGAGGAATAATATAAAAGAGAGATAAAAGAGAAAAAGAGGAGAGGGAATACGGCAACAAGGGGCAGGTGAGGACAGACGAAAGGAAGCGAAGGGAGGTCAGGTCAGGTCGGAGGGTCGGGCGGACTGTTTGCAGGGTGGCCGGTATAAGGGAGAAGGCGGAGGATGTGGGAAGCGAGGAGACTATCGGCAGGAGAAAAGCTGCTGTTCAGGTTGGAATTGGGCAGCAGCTTTATTAAGGAGGATGTTATTATTATTTTGTTTTTATTTTTTTAAGGGTGTGTGGTGGGAAATCTTGCGGTAGAGGGAGGGAGATGGGGAGGGGAAGGGAGAAGGAGGAGGAGGAGAAAAAGGATGGGGGAGGAGGAGGAAGAGGTGGAGGAAGGAGAAGGAGGACGAGGAGAGGAGGAGAAAAGGGAGAAAAAGGAAGGAGAGAAAAAAGATGAGGAAAAGCACCAACATCCTGTCTACCTCTCTGGCCATTAGTGTCTTTGCGTGTATCCACCTGTCATCACCCCCCCCCCCTTCATCTCATCCATGCATGCACACACACACACACACACACACATACACACACACACAAACAAACACAAACACACACACTAGCACACACACAAACACGCACACACACACACACACACACACACAAGCACACATACACACACAAGCGCACACACACAAACACACACACACAAACACACACACACACACTAACACACACACACAAACACACACACACACACTAACACACACACACAAGCACACACACCTCCCATTCCCCCTCCCCCTCACCCCCCCCCACCCCTTCCCCCACACCCACACCCACCTATAGTCCTCCCCGTCGGGCCCGAGACAGAAATCCTCGGCCGAAGCGTGGCAGACGATGGTGCGGCCCCACGCGGTCTGGTTTAGCACGCTCTTGTCCCAGAAGGTTTGCGTCATGGGGAAAAGGCCGATGCTCTTGAAGAAGTCCTCGGCGGAATCGAACATACGCTGGATATCCCAACCCTGGAGAGGAGAGGCGAGAGGAGGGAAGGGGTATTAGTATTAAAAAAAAGAAAATAGAGAGAAAGAGAGAATAAGAGAGGAAAAAAGTCTAGATAAAACGATAGATAGATAGATCGTAGAAAGTACATTCCTGTTCTGGAATAGATATTTTTTGTCGTAGAATCTATAAATGGAAATACATTATTTCCCTAAAATGAAAAGAAAATAATTTTTTAACATAGAAAAAACATGCAAATAATACAGTTTTGGCCTCGAATGTAAAAAAAATGATAATAATAATAAATTGTTCCCCTAAATTTAAAAAAAATTACATTATAGCCTTAGCATGAAGAATACAAAGTTATCCTATTTTGTTTTTAATCACTTTGATGGGTCTTGTTGAAAATAAAAGAAGAATGACATTATCAAACGAATAATATTGGAGGAATTTATATCACTAGCACCCAAATGATCATGAAAAAAACACATGACTGTATGATCCAAAATGGAGAAAAAATATCACGTACACAATTAACAAAAGAAATAACTAAATTAACGACAGATAAATTGCATCATTAACGAAAACGCATTATCAATAACCTGATTTAACCAAAAATATTAAGTGAATTAATAAATTGAGTGAGGGCATTAACCTAAAAGACAAAAATAGAAGAAAAAAAGAGAGAGAGAGAAAAAAAAATGTATGTATATATATATAAATAGATATATAAATAAATAAATATATATATATATATATATATATATATATATATATATATATATATATATATATATAAATGAATATATATATATAAATAAATGAATATATATATATAAATAAATGAATATATATATATATATATATATATATATATATATATATATATATATATATATATATATATATATATATATATATAAATGAATATATATATATATAAATAAATGAATACATATATAAATTAATAAAAAAATGAATAATAAAAAAAATAAAAAAATAAACAAATAAATAAATAAATAAATAAATAAATAAATAAATATAATAGCCCCCCCAAAAAAACTTACATTCTTGACCATGCTTTCGGTGACATCAAAACTGGGCATCTCAGGGAAGGGCATCACGTGGCGGGCGATGTTGGACCAGTCTTGTGCCCACATGTTACCTGTCGGGTCGGAGGAGGTCACGGGGTCATTCGAGGTCAAGAGAGGTCACGCGAAAAATTAATTGGTATGGGAGAAGGAGAAGATGGAGAGGATGATGAGAAGAGGGAAAAAGGGGTGAAGGAAATAGGAAGAGAAAGAAGGAGAAAGTGAAAATGGTGAAGGAGAAGAACGAAGGAAAAAGGAATAGAAAGAAGAAGAAAGTGAAAATGGTGAAGGAGAGAAGAGGAAAAAGGAGAAGAAGAAAGACGTGGAAATGGAGGCAGATAGAGAGAGGAAGAAGGAGAAGAAGAAAGAAGTGAAAATGGAGGAAGGTAGAGAGAGGAAGAAGGAGAAGAAGAAGGAAGTGAAAATGGAGAAAGACAAAGAGAGGAGAAAGAAAGATGATAAGAAATAAGGAAATAGGAAGAGAAAGAAGGAGAAGGTGAAAATGGTGAAGGAGAAGGAGAAGAAGAAGGAAGTGAAAATGGAGAAGGAAATGAGACGAAGAAAGAGTGAAAATGGAGAAAGACAAAAGGAGGAAAAAGATGGATGATGCGAAGAGGGGAAAAGGGGTGAAGGAAATAGGAAGAGAAAGAAGGAGAAAGTGAAAATGGTGAAGGAGAAGAAGAGGAAGAAGGAGAAGAAGAAAGAAGTGAAAATGGAGGAAGGTAGAGAGAGGAAGAAGGAGAAGAAGAAAGAAGTGAAAATGGAGGAAGGTAGAGAGAGGAAGAAGGGAGTGAAAATGGAGAAAGACAAAGAGAGGAGAAAGAAAGATGATAAGAAATAAGGAAATAGGAAGAGAAAGAAGGAGAAAGTGAAAATGGTGAAGGAGAAGGAGAAGAAGAAAGAAGTGAAAATGGAGAAGGAAATGAGACGAAGAAGGAGTGAGAATGGAGAAAGACAAAAAGAGGAAAAAGATGGATGATGCGAAGAGGGAAAAGGGGTGAAGGAAAAAGGAATAGAAAGAAGAAGAAAGTGAAAATGGTGAAGGAGAAGAAGAGGAAAAAGGAGAAGAAGAAAGACGTGGAAATGGAGGCAGATAGAGAGAGGAAGAAGGAGGAAGAAGAAAAAAATGAAAATGGAAAAAGGAAATGAGACGAAAAAGGAGTGGAAATGGGGAAAGATAAAGAGAGGAATAAGAAGGAGGATGAAGACGAAAGAAGAGAAAATCGAGAAGGACAGAGAGAGAGGGAGAAGAAGGAAAATAAGGAAGAAAGAAATGAAAATGGAGAAAGAAATATTACGAAAAAGAGGAAAAAAGGAAAGAAAGAAAGAAGTGAAAACAGAGACAGAAAGAGGAAGAGGAAGGACAAAAGAAAGGAGTGAATATGGAGAAGACAACAGAATGAAGAAGGGGATGGAGGATGAAAGAAGTGAAAAAGGAAGAAGAAGAAGAAGAAGAAGAAGAAGAAGAAGAAGGATTAGGAGGAGGAGAAGGAAGAAGAAGAAAATAAGTAGAAGAAAAAGAAGAATAAGAAAAGTAGAATAAGAATAAGAAGAAAAAGAAGAAGAACAACAACAAGAGGAAGTAAAAATGCAGAAAGAAAAAAAACACGAATAAGCCCAAAGAAAACAAGAAGGAGGAAAAGGGAAATGAACAATAAAAATAAAAAAAGAAAACATGAAATGATAAATCAAAAGAGGAAGACAGTAAAAATCCCTAAAATCATAACAGTAATAAGAAAAACTAAACAGTAAAAATATGGAAACCAATAATGCGTTTATCAACTATCATTACAATCAACACAAAGCGAAGAAGAACATAATAAGAACATATAAGAATAAGAACTATAGCAAAAATAAAAGTGTGGTAGTAGTAAGAACAGAACAAGAACAACGTAGTAAGAACAAGATCGAAAGAACAAGAACAATTGTTAAGTCGTAAGAACAGCAACATTGTTTTAAAATTGAGAACATAACTTAAAAATTAATAAAAAGAGTTATGAATACTGACAGAAAAAAAACTTAATCACTATAATAATGAAAGTGATTCTTCATTATAAAAAAAACTAATGCTGGCGACATTAAAAGTAAAAAAATAAAAGAAAAAAGAAAAAAAAAACAAGAGGAACACAAAAAAGAAAAACAAAATACAGCCATCAGTATTAAAGCAATGACAACAATAATAACAATAACAAAAGCATTTAAAACTAGAAAAGCACTTAGAGAGTGCAGACCTCCGTCCAGACGGTAATTCGGAATGTCAGTGAAATATGGCACACTTTTACCGTAGATTTGTGTACCGAACTTGTTACCTCCTTTATTGATTAAATAATGATAATAATAATAATAACCAGACGGTAATTCGGAATGTCACCAAAATTTAATCAGTTCTAAGTTAGTCCCTTTCTGACTTGTCCCCAAAAATTCGATGAAATCCGGCCAGCATTTTTTGAGCTAGGCTGCTAACAAACAAACCAACAAACCAACGCCGTCAAAAACATAACCTCCTTGGCGGAGGTAACAAAAACATTTCTGAAAACCAAAACAAAAAAAAGGAAAAAAATACAATAACAAGAAAAAAAATCTTACTAGAGATGTGAGAAAATAGACTTAATACAAAAACTACTACTACTACTACTAATAATAATAATAATAACAATAATAACAATAATAATAATAATAATAATAACAATAATAATAATAATAATAATAAATAAATAAAACAAATAAACAAATAACTAAACAAATCACCAACACCATAACAAAACGAAAATCAACACCATAGAATCGAGATGAAATATACATACACAACACCAACAACCAACAACAATAACAATAACCGCACTAATAACACCATCAACACTACACCGAGGCTACGAGATCACGGACGGGGTATAAGTTTTCACAACACCAAGAACACGCACGGGGCATAGACACCCACAACACCAAGAACACGCACGGGGCATAGACACCCACAACACCAAGAACACGCACGGGGCAGAGACACCCACAACACCAAGAACACGCACGGGGCAGAGACACCCACAACACCAAGAACACGCACGGGGCAGAGACACCCACAACACCAAGAACACGCACGGGGCATAGACACCCACAACACCAAGAACACGCACGGGGCATAGACACCCACAACACCAAGAACACGCACGGGGCATAGACACCCACAACACCAAGAACACGCACGGGGCATAGACAAGACACGCACACCAACACCAAGAACACGCACGGGGCATAGACACCCACAACACCAAGAACACGCACGGGGTATAGACACCCACAACACCAAGAACACGCACGGGGCATAGACACCCACAACACCAAGAACACGCACGGGGTATAGACACCCACAACACCAAGAACACGCACGGGGCATAGACACCCACAACACCAAGAACACGCACGGGGCATGGGTATAGACACCCACAACACAAGAACACACACGGGGCATAGACACCCACAACACCAAGAACACGCACGGGGCATAGACACCCACAACACCAAGAACACGCACGGGGTATAGAAACCCACAACACCAAGAACACGCACGGGGCATAGACACCACAACACCAAGAACACGCACGGGGCATAGACATCCACAACACCAAGAATACGCACGGGGCATACACACCCACAACACCAACACCCACAAACACCATCAACACCACCAACACCATACCGAGGATGTGAGCTGGAATGGGCCCCGTAGGATCTATCTTGTCGGGGTAAACTTCGGAGAGACGCATCCTCACGTAGGCATGGAGCTTCTTGTACAGTCCTTCAGATACCTGGGAGGAGGGAGGGGAAGATAGGATGAGAGATGGGGAGAGGGGAGAGGGGAGAAGGGAAGGTAAAGAGGGGAGAGGGGAGAAGGGAGAGGGGAAGATAATGAGGCGAGAGGGGAGAAGGGAGAGGGGAAGGTAAAGAGGGGAGAGGGGAAGGTAAAGAGGGGGGTGGGGAGAAGGGGAGGTAAAGAGAGGAGAGGGGGAGGTAAAGAAGGGAGAGGGGAAGGTAAAGAGGGGAGTGGGGAGAAGGGGAGGTAAAGAGAGGAGAGGGGGAGGTAAAGAAGGGAGAGGGGAAGGTAAAGAGGGGAGTGGGGAGAAGGGGAGGTAAAGAGAGGAGAGGGGGAGGTAAAGAGGGGAGAGGGGAAGATAAGATGAGAGGTTGGGAGGAGAGGAGAGGGGAGAGGGGAAGATAGGATGGGAGATGGAGAAGAGGGGATAATGGGAGGTAAAAAGAGGAGAGGTGGAGGTAAAGAGGGGAGAGAGGGAGATAAGATGAGAGATGGGGAAGAGGGAAGAGGGGGAGGTAAAGAGGGGAGAGGGGAGAGGGGAGATTGGATGAGAGATGGGGAAGAGGGAAGAGGGGGAGGTAAAGAGGGGAGGGGGGAGAGGGGGAGATAGGATGAGAGATGGGGAAGAGGGAAGAGGGGGAGGTAAAGAGGGGAAGGGGGGAGAGGGGGAGATAGGATGAGAGATGGGGAAGAGGGGAGAGGGGAAGGTAAAGAGGGGAGAGGGGAGAAGGGGAGGTAAAGAGAGGAGAGGGGGAGGTAAAGAGGGGAGAGAGGGAGATAAGATGAGAGATGGGGAAGAGGGGAGAGGGGGAGGTAGAGAGGGGAGAGGGGGAGATAGCATGAGAGATGGGGAGAGGGGAGAAGGGGAGGTAAAGAGAGGAGAGAGGGAGGTAAAGAGGGGAGAGAGGGAGATAAGATGAGATGTGGGGAGAGGGGAGAAGGGGAGGTAAAGAGAAGAGAGGGGGAGATAGGATGAGAGATGGGAAGAGGGGAGAGGGGGAGGTAAAGAGAGGGGGGGAGGTAAAGAGGGGGAGGGGGAGATAGGATGAGAGGTTGGGAGAGAGGAGAGGGGAGAGGGGGAGATAAAGAAAGGAGATGGTGGGGTTAAAGAAAGGAGAGGAGGTAAAGAGAGAAGAAGTAGAGGGGAAGATAGGATGAGAGATGCGGAGAAGGGAGAAGGGGAGGTAAAGAGGGGAGAAGGGGAGGTAAAGAGGGGAGAGAGGGAGATAGGATGAGAGGTTGGGGAGAGGGGGAGGTAAAGAAGGGAGAGGAGGTAGAGGTGGAGGAGTTGGAGGAGGAAGAGGAGAAAGATGGAGAAGATGGGAGAAAGTGGTTGAGGAAGAGGAGGAGGAAGAGGAGAAAGGGGAAGAGAAGGAAGAATGGAGAGAATAGGACGTGGAGGAGGAGGAAGGTTAGGGGAGGAGGACGAAGTAGAGATTAAAGAGGAGCAGGTAGAAGAGGAGGAGGAGGAGGAGGAAGATAGACAGATAGACAGAGAGAATATGAAAAAAAATAGAAAGAAGAACAAAACAAATTTCCACTCTGCCTTGCACAGACATAAATATTCCAGCCATAAATACTAAAACTCTAAACTATCTGAACTAATTAGTCAACCATAGGATCATAATATTATTGATTAGACGAAACTTCTTTCTTTCTGCTCTATTGTGCCGTAAATCTGTTATCCTTTATGCACGTTATTTGTCAATCAAGTTTTTTTTTCACAACCGGATGCCCTTCCTGACGCCACCTGTCCCACTAACCCAGGCTGGTTACCGGTACTTAGGACTCAGCTGTGACTTATTGTTTACAGCATATCTTTAAGCAATAACAATTTACATCTAACACGAAGACACCACCAATTCACTTCCTAATACACGGAAGAATCATTCGAAACTAATAAAATTACCTTGTACATTATTTGCTTCCATTAACAAAATCACACACGCTGAGTTATACTTAAAGCCAAAGAAGCTCATGTCTGCTTCTGACATTACATTACCGAATTCTTACGTTTTTAAAAAGTAAACTAACAATTCTTAAAACTAAAACAAACACTCAATTGGTAGAATCTAACGACATCTTGACATTTCTAGCGGCGTACATCATTCTAAATATCGCACATTAAGCGTTCTGCATTTCCTCATTATCTTCCTCATCAAAGCCAAACCCTATTCAGTCCATTCAGTACGTATTAGACCATGATCCTCTGACATTTGAGAGGATCGTTCAGGCCTCGCTGACACCATGCCCCTCCAATGATCAATCAAGTTTATGAAGTTTAAATCACTCTCACAAAAACAACACTCCTCCAAAATCTATATGACAGCTAATACTCCGACATCTCTTCAATGCCTCTGAAACTACGCCTCTTCAACGCCTGGTTAAATCCAAGTTCCCTAAGCTTCGAAGGAAACCACGCCCCTCCAACGCCTAGTTAATCCCAGGTTCCCTAAGCATTAAAGGAAACCACGTCACTTCAACGCCAAGCAAGTCAACGCCCACCCACCGTTTGCCACGCCTGCTCGGCCATCGTCTTGAACTGCTGTTGGTCCAATGCCTGGCCGCCTGTATACTTGTCGGCTTCTCGTTGGGTGACCGTGTAGCCGTTCAGCCAATAGGAGCCCGTGTTGTCGAAACCTGCCAGGGGTAAGAGGGAGTGTCATGTTCATGAAATTGTTATAAGTATGATGACGGTATTGAAAATGTTATTACATGATAACCAATAGAACGATGATAATAAATTTTACAACAAAATGAACACAAACACATAGTAACGTGTACATAAAGGTGAAAAGGAAAAGAGCCAAGGTTAGAAATGAAAATAAATCGTGACGTTTCGAACTCTTCACGAGTTTCATTTCAGTTTATTTCAGTCTGAAGACGAACTCGTGGAAAGTTCGAAACGTCACGATTTATTTTCATTTCTAAATATGGCTCTTTTTCATTTTCATAGTTATATAAAAAATATCAGAATGAAATCAGTCTGTTCTGAGGACTACTTCAAGAGGGAATAGCAGTGAAAATAAAGAAATACCAATTTCAACATGTTACGAGTGGAAGAACACACACCACAAATATTAAGTGATCTTTGGGATGACTTCATAAAGTTGTCATTTTTCGTTTTCTCACATGACGAGGAAACTAAAAATTCAATGTACATTTTTATTCGGTTTTATGATAATTTGCCCTACACGGTGTAATTATATTCATCTGTCCATTGGCAATGTATTACATCATTGAATATAATAATAATGTCAGAAAAGTTTAGTATTATTGGCTAGGATACTGAACTTGAATTTAATCCTTTTTAAAACAACAACCTACAGTTTGCTTTCCCAGATAGCCTTGTACCACTGCCGTTCAATTTCAGAGTAGAATTTTAAGAAATCCATAGTAATCTAGACTTAGGATTTCCGTGATATAAATGAAAAAAAGTAAATTAAACTAAACTAAACTAAACTACTTGTATCCAGTCTCAGGAAATTACTAACTGTTAACTCTCTCTAGACTTTGCAGAACTCCGATTCGACAAATTTCTCCTTGATTCTTAGCCGCTGACATTTTTGCTTTAATCAACATACAGTATTTTTGTAATTATTCTAACTGAAACTCACTACCTTTATTGTTAATGGGAGACCTGACGAAGCAGAAAACTCCAGAGTCTGGGGAGAGTTGCTAGTTCCCATTTCTTGATATTAACTGTACGGCCATTTATCCATGTATTTAATTGTATATCTATATCTACTGTATCCATCTAGCACTTCTTTTATCTCTGTTGAACGCTATTACTATCTTTTTATTGCTTGACGTATCTATTTATTCGTGTATCTGTGTATTCATATTTCTACAAAATTATCTGATGATAATAATTACTCATTAATCTTTATCAATGGCTAGTTTCGAAATAAAATAGAAATAACGGCGGTGCAAATTATAATAAATAAAATAATCCCAAAATTATCATAATTGCAATAATAAAAATTTACAATACTACTAATACGAGAATAATGGTTATAGCTGTAATAATATCAATAACAATTATAATGATATAAATAGTGGTAATGACAACCATAACACATATAAATGATATAGATGAACAAAACAAGGTTATCCTCACCGTCCAGCGTCGCCGCCTTGTTCGAAAGCTCAACGAAGCGAATGAAATCGTCCCTCATCAATTTTCCGGTATTTTCCCTCCACTGAACCCACGCATGGCGCAGTTCTTCCCAGTTGGTGGATGTGGCGAGGATCAGTTCGATATCTGAGGGGAAATGGTGAGACTTATTGATGACGATGAAATAGGAAAATGGAGTGCGAGAGAGGGTTCGAGAGAGGGGAGGCGGGAGGAGGATTCATTTGTAGGCCTATCGCTCGTTGAAATAGGTATTTGATAGGTCTAATTTGATTTTGACACACACACACACACGCGCACACACACACACACACACACACACATATATATGTATATGTATATATATATATATATATATATATATATATATATATATATATATATATATATTTATTTATTTATAATAGTTATAAGACTCTTAAGTGTTTTATTTTCTTTGTCGTCGGGTTTTATCAGTTGACGCAGTCAGACCAAATCAGATGGGTTTATCAGCTGATTCCTCAGATCATTTATTTCATTAATGGCTTATTTGCTCAATTAGTTTAACTTTATCAGTGACTCAAGGACTTAGTTACCTTGAACTGATCTACATACGACAAATTTTGATAATAACAATAAACGTCACGCTATCAGTAACTGATTTCTTAAACCACACTACACTTTATCAGTGACCACGCTACTTATTCACAATCAACTTTTAAGACTCACTTACAAACTCCCAACCCAACTTCTCTCCAACAATCAACTTAACCCATTGCCGCCGGGGAAAGTGAATAAAAAATGGGTAAAATGCTGTACTCATTTTTTTTATATTTTTGTGAAATGTCTCTGTACATAGATGGCTCTGCTAGTCCTGATTTCACCTTTCCTTGAATTGGCGGAAAAAAAAAACGTATTCTTACTAGTGCTATAAATATAGATGGTGTTATTTTTAACAGCAAAATAAGATAACGTTAAATATTTTCGTAAATCGATGAAAAGGTTGAAGAGGGAGACAGACAGTACTCGTAATTGGCTCACTGGTGACCATCGGCCAGGGGTTAGCCAACACCTCACCATCACCACCACCACCACAACGAATCCAATTCCTCACCATCTGCAATCAAACCTCCAACCACACAACCCCTTTCACCATTTTCTCCAACTCGAAACTCACGTACTTGAGTCCCACCGACCACTTCCCGTTTTCTATGCGCATGACCTTACCGGGTTCGAGCGTCAAATCGCACTCAGTGTCATCGTGGAAGTCGCAGATGGTGGCTGTGCTGTAGATCGTCTCCATCCCAGCCTGCAGGAGCTTGTACTGTAGGGGAAGGGGGAGGGGGGGAACGTTAATTTATTTGTTATATTTATGTTTCTTTGTTTATTTGTGTTAATTATCTGTTGTTTATCTTTTTTTATTCGTTTATTTTATGCTAATTATGTTAATTGTTTATTTATCCATTTTTATTTATTCATGTTATCTGTTGTGTTTGTCTATTATTTGTTTATTTTTTGTCTATTTTTATTTGTTTATTTTATGCTAATTATTTGTTATTTGTTTATATTTATCCATTTATAGATATTTATGCTTATGTCCTATATTATCGGTTATTCTCTATTTCTTTTCTTATTTTTTCCTTTTCTTTTCATTATCTTGTATTTCTGTATTTATTCTTATTTTCATTAGATTTGTTTTTATCCAGTTTATTTTTCACAATCATGCTTATCACTATCTTTGTTTTAAGTAATTAATTTCATCACAAGAGGATATGAATATACACACATGTATGTAAACGATCCGAGTTACATGTACACATACAGTTAATACACATACAGTCTTATGCATACATAGACAAACAGAAACAAGTACAAAAACAGAGGCAAATACAGACAGACAGACAAATATACAGACTTCTATACAGACATGCCTAAACAGACACACACAATACAGATAAACGAACACACATACACGACATACACAAATACACACACATACACAGCAACGTGTACACAACCACACCCACACGAACCAACAACCACAATCACAACGCCCATTCATCCACAACACGTCCGTTTAACCTCGTTACAACGGCCACTCGTCACTCAACCACGCAGTCTAGCAACCACAACCTACACGCAACCAAAATCACGGAGTCAAAACCAAATAAACCAGCAACCACAACTACAGGCCCGCTTAACCACACAACCACATGAACCCAACAACCATTTAATTGCCCCCCCCCCACACACACACATACATAAACCCACACCCACAACCACTCACCCACCCAGCAAACATTACCTACCACACCCACACACACGCACAACCGCACGCCCACTCAACCACACTCACCCAGCAACCATTATCCCCCTAATACACACATATACACCCACACCCACACAATCTACGCTCACAACCACACGCCCACACAACCACACTCAAACATCAACCATTACCTCCCACACACATTACCTCTACACACACATACATAACCCACATACACCCACGCCCACGCCCACACCCCTTACCTCCTCGAGATCC